TTTATTTAGGGACGATTTTAAGTATAATTTTAATTGGAATACAGCCTCTAATATTTGGTTTTTAATTTGGTTTTAGAGGGGTTTTTATTTTTGTATATTGATATTTGTATCTGTTTTAATATGCTGTGCACCGCCCTGAGTCCTGCGGGAGAAGGGCGGTATAGAAATTAAATTAATAATAATAATAATAATAATAATAAATTTAATAAATAAATAAATAAATAAATAAACTGGGTCGTAAGTACCTTTTGTAGATTTGAACAGTCACTGAGCGACCAGTCGTAAATTGAGGAGTACTTGTAGCAAATGACTTATTATTAGCACAGAACGGGTTTTCTTTTTAACCATTAGAGGTGAAATTTTGGCAAACCAAGCGGTACGTTGGTACTCAACTGCTTTGAAACTCATCAAATCTGGGATTCAAGGCATTTTAACGTGAACATTTCGTCCCGGTACTCATCGTTTGTTTGATACTCAATGCACAAACTAGAACTTGTGGGTGTTGGCTGCCTTGTGACTCATTACATTATTTCTTTTGGGAAAAATTTGTTTAGTATTCAGTATTTTTTTGTACCGAAATATTAAGAAAACCAAGACCATGGCATCCGGCCTTCTCAATTCCTGGCAAATAGATGGGGAAGAAATGGAGGCAGTGACATATTTTATCTTCCTGGGCTCCAAGATCACCGCAGATGGGGACTGCAGCCAAGAAATTAGAAGACACTTGCTCCTGGGGAGGAATGCTATGGCAAATCTAGACAGCATACTAAAAAGCAGAGACGTCACCCTGCCAACAAAAGTACGTATAGTCAAGGCCATGGTTTTCCCAGTTGCAATGTATGGCTGTGAAAGTTGGACCATAAGAAAGGCTGAGCACCAAAGAATTGAGGCCTTTGAACTATGGTGCTGGAGAAGACTCCTGCGATTCCAAGGCGATCAAACCGGTCAGTCCTAGAGGAGATCAACCCTGACTGCTCTTTAGAAGGCCAGATCCTGAAGTGGAAACTCAAGTACTTTGGCCACCCAATGAGAAGGAAGGACTCACTGGAGAAGAGCCTGATGCTGGGAAAGATGGAGGGCAAGAGAAGAAGGGGACGACAGAGAATGAGGTGGCTGGATGGAGTCACTGAAGCAGCAGGCGTGAGCTTAAATGGACTCCAGAAGATGGCAGAGGACAGGAAGGCCTGGAGGAATGTTGTCCATGGGGTCGTGATGGGTCAGACACGACTTCTCAACTAACAACAACAACCACTGTATCTACATCTTTAGTCAACCGATTTACATTAAGCAATCAGCAAGGGCTTTGGTGACAATTAGGAATATTAAAGAATTCAGTTCACATGTTCTGAAGAATCCGATTGAGACTAACAACCTCCTTAGAGGACCGCTGCCCGTTTTCAGTACATACCGGTCGTGGCAAAGACAGGTTCGCTCCGTACCAATGATAGAGGGCTCTCCACACCGGTTCTGGGACAATTTCATAATTTTTCCCTTGGATTAATTGGGGTGATGGTTTTAATCGCCCGCCTTCCAGAGTCAATGATGGAGCCTTCCAAAAAAGAAAAAGGGAAAAAAAACCAGATTCTGAGTTTCTCTTTTATCAAATTTCTTGAAAGATTACAAATCCTGAACCAAATAAAGAATTAATGCAGGTTAATATAATAGGCCAAGCAACATTAGAGAGACCATCCCATTTCACAAAAAAGACCTGGTCATTGAAAGGGTTTGGATTATTTGCATGCTTGCTCATCATGGTCATTCTGTGGTTTCTTCTGGCAATGAACCCCTTTTTTCTAACCCTGGAGATGAAACCATTAGCAAGAGTCTGAGCATTTGGAAATGGTCACCCTGCTGACTCTTTTTTCCCTTCTTCCTCCCATCTCTTTTTCTCAATTATTACGACTCCTGATTGCAAACCTATTTCACTTGCTTAGCCTTTGGCTAAAGAGCAGAGTTTAAATTAATTAAATAAGCCAAAAATAAGTTTTGCGAACATCTTAAGCACAACCTGATTAGGGCAGAACTCAGCTGCCCCAATTTAAATGGTACCTCACAGTTAGTTCTCATCGCTCCTTTCACACTGACTACTGATTCAGTTCCAAGCCCTTTTCATGGAGGTGTTGTATATTTTTAAAGCTCAGAATACTGGAAAAAAAAGAGTATTTTTCTTATTCCAGTCCACCCCTTGCCTTGAAACAGGAGCTGAAAAAGTGCAGCCTGCTTATAAAGCCAACAGTCAGGGTTGCTGGAAACTGTTATAACACAGAATACCCATCGCTGTTTAAGATCCTCCACAGGGTCAGTTTTTCCAAGTATCTTCCTTATGGAATAGCAGAATGGAGTGAGAAGGAGGGCTTTGGAATGCTGTTCTCCAGTATCAAATTACCATCTCCATACTGGCAGTTTAAGACATTAAACTCAGCCGCCCTGAGTCCTTCGGGAGAAGGGCGGGGTATAAATTAAAGTAATAAATAAATAAATAAATTTTCAGTCAGATATTTTAATCTCATTATTTCTGATTCAATATATTGCTAAAACTCTTGTTGTCGTGACCTTTATCTGGGCAATCTTTTGAATGAAGATATCTTACATGAGCTAACTTACAGAAGGTGTCCAAAATCTGGGACCTATGATTCCCGAGACAGTGAAATTTGGGGAAGTTGTGATGGCTTCAGTGCTACTGACTGTTGCTGTATGGCTGGGCTATTGTTGCTGTCATGTGATCTTTATTTTCAATATTCGGTGACAGTTTCCCAGCCAGTCTAGCAATCCCTTGCTCCTTCCTCCGCCCAGCAGCAGCCACTAACCTGCCAGAGAGGGGAGGGCAGGGCAAGGCAGGACAAGACAGGGCAGGGCAGGATTGTGTCTAAATTTTGATCACGTTACCATGGGGATGCTACAAATGTGAAAAATGGTCATAAGTCAGGTTTTTCAATGCTGTTGTAACTTTGAACAGTCACTAAACAAATGGTTGTAAGTCGAGGACTATCTGTGCAGGTAGTCCTCGACTTACAACAGTTCATGTAATGACCATTCAAAATTACAAGGATGCTGGAAAAAATGTGATTTATGACCATTTTTCACAGTTATGTTGCAGCATCCCCATGATCATGTGATCAAAATTCAGATACTAGGCAACTGACTCATATTTATGACGGTTGCCGTGTCCCGAGGTCATGAGATCACCTTTTCGGACCTTCTGACAACCAAAATCAATTTGGGAAGCCATATTCAATTAACAACCGTGTTACTAACTTATCAACTGCAGGGATTCACGTAATAACGGTGGCAAGAAAACTCATAAAATGGGGCAAAACTCACTTAATGAACGTCTCACTTAACAACAGAAAAATTTGGGTTCAATTGTGGTCGTAATTTGAGGACTCCCTGTACTGTTTTTACTTATAAGAGGCTTACCTTCACGGGCTCTTGCGTTACAAGTGGCTGATTATCAATTGCTCCAGGCCGCTGTGGATTCAGCAACTGCAGTAAGATATTCCCATTAGATGCAAGGAGGCACTGATTGTTGTTGTCCGAAGAATTAAGTTGTCGAGCGAAACATGTCTCGGCATTGGGAGTGGTGGCCGAAAGGATATCTGGAAGGTAAATGAGGATGAAACAAAAGTAAGCATGAAGTGTCAAGTTTTGAAGCAGGGTTTTTTTTCTTCTTGCTGCAACAGTTATTGCTTCTCAGCTTGCCAACGAACTCGGGGGCGGAGGGAATCGGATTGGAATGCAGACTTCAAAGATTAAGGAAGTGGACCATGGGAACCAAGGACAATTACCAGATGTCTGGCCAGACCCAGAGATACTTTCTCATAACAATATTGCTGCATCTAACTGGGCATCGTGACCTGATCCAGAGAGAGAGGAGAGAGAATTCTATGCTTTCACTATGTAGGGCTTGGGTGGGATTTTGCCAGAGCTGGTTTTGCTTTTGTAAGTGCTGAAATGATGTACTCAATAAAGTTTTACCTTAAGAGATCGGAATGTCTCGAAGGTGTTTGCTTGGTTGGGTTCGTCAGTCGGAACTGTGCCGGGAAGTGTGCAAAGTTACAGGGGAATATCAGAAAGGAGCAAACAGTGGCTCTGAAGGTATGACTGGATTATAACTCCCCTCAAATCTCACCATCTGTATGCTGACTTGAAAATGCTATGTGTTATTACTGCCTTTGAACTATGGTGCTGGAGAAGACTCCTGCGAGTCCCCTGGACTGCAAGGCGATCAAACCGGTCAGTCCTAGAGGAGATCAACCCTGACTGCTCTTTAGAAGGCCAGATCCTGAAGTTGAAACTCAAGTACTTTGACCACCTAATGAGAAGGAAGGACTCCCTGGAGAAGAGCCTAATGCTGGGAAAGATCGAGGGCAATAGAAGAAGGGGACGACAGAGAATGAGGTGGCTGGATGGAGTCACTGAAGCAGGAGGCATGAGCTTAAATGGACTCCAGAAGATGGTAGAGGACAGGAAGGCCTGGAGGAACGTTGTCCATGGGGTCGCGATGGGTCAGACACGACTTCACAACTAACAACAACATTACGGTGTTTTCCCCAAAATAAGATCCAACCGGAAAATAAGCCGTAGCATGATTTTTCAGAACGCTTGAAATATAAGCCCCACCCCAAAAAAATAAACTCCGGTTAAGATCGTCAGCCAGACAGACGCATTTAGTACCGTATTTCCCCGAAAATAAGACCTAACCAGAAAATAAGCCCTAATGCATCTTTTGGCGCAAAAATTAATATAAGACCCGGTCTTATTTTTAGGAAAACACTTAGTTCAATAACATCTGGAAAGCCGCTTTTTATGAGCCTCTTATAACAGGATCTTGGCACCTCCTTCATTTTCTCAGGAGGCCATACAGGTGGTCCTCAACTTACAACAGATCGTTTAGTGACCGCT